TGTTTAATTAAATAACTCGTGGAGTTATCATGTGCAGCTGTTGGATTGATCGGGATTACTATATGGAGAGCTTGCTAGATTTGTGTTGAGACTGCTGGGAATTAGAACAAAGCCTAAAAAGGTTCAGCCACTCCTAATGATGGTTTATAAGACTAATTTATGCCACTGAGACTCAAATATGTGTTCCATTAGTTTAATGGTATTTTATAGTGTGTAGGTTTTTTCATTTTTCATTCAAAAATTTTTAATGGCAAACATGATTCAAGCTCCAAGTTTATTTGGCAGCACTGCTCACATTGTTGTTTTTCTTGTCTTTCTCTCCCCCATTTGCTTGGATTTTTAAAAGCAAATTTTTTTTTTGCTACTAGGGAGAGAATTTACTTTCCCCTCATTTGTGAAGCAAATCATACCATAATAGAAAGCTATTGTGATGATGAGAGAATGGTGTTATCTTCACTCAGGCAAAGCGTTGATGTCGATTAAGGCGTCGTTTAGCAACATAGCAAATGTGTTGCTGGACTGGGATGATGTTCACAATGATGATTTCTTTGCTAATTGGAGACTGAAGAATCTACAATCCATGTATGCTTTCTTTGCTAATCCTGTTGATTTGGTGTTCTTGCTCATTGTAACCAAGTTAACATAATACTAACTTTAGATGTTGTAGTTGAAATATTTTCAGGAATTTTCAAGGGAACAAATTAACTGGTCAAATTCCTGATGAGATAGGCAACTGTGTTTCTCTGATGCTGGTGTAAAATTTCATCTTCTTTCTTCATTGCAATTTTATTTACATATATGTGGATGTATTAATATCTTCTTCTGTAACTACCGCTGCAACCCGTTCCTTACTTGCTATTGCTGTTGCCACAAGTGGCAATGGATGCCTCCCAAACCTTTTTTTTATCTTTATCTAAATAGTAGTGTCTTTTTTCCCTAGATAGTCTGAATGAGATCACATAGTCTAAATTAGATTTTTCAGCACCAGACTTTCGGATGTTCGAATTTTCCCATTTGTTTGAATTTGAAAGTCTGAATGCGACCATGATTCTTCTTTTTTTTCTTCCCCTTTTTGGGTGCTGTGGCATTTCTCCTTTTTTATGATATGATGTTCTCTTAGCAACCGATCATTTTTTTAATTATTTATTATGATGTTTATTAATTGATTAGATAATGGGGAAGACTAAAAAAAATGACAGCTTATTGTTTTTTGCTTGCATTGCTTCTAAATAGTTTAATGTTCCCCACTCAAAAATAAATGATACACTATATATGGGTTAAATAAGGATCACATTGCTTCTAAACCCTTTTCCATACTTGCATTCTACAGGTTCATCTGCTAAACAAGACAAATACCCAACTTGCAAGAATGGTTTGATTTTCTTTTATATATTTTATTTGCTTGATTTGGGTCTTCTAATGTGTTTTGTAATTATGTGGTTCGGGGAAACTGAGTTGATGTCGAACCTTCACTCATTTGTTCCCACTCCCTCAATCTAGCTTGAATTCTGATATCCTTTCAGAGGCATCCGTGAATGGTACAATGATTGACACAAACTAATTTTTATATATGGTCGCACTATGATAGATTTTTCAACCATTCAAGTTTAATGAAGTTGTGTTAATGGAATTGGATGATTCAGGTATATAATCATCATTTTGGTGAAGATGATTGATGACTTGATGAAGTTGAAGAGAGCTATGGATGAAGTTATTTTCAGAGAATTTCGAGAGCACACTGAATATTATTATTTTTATGATTTTGTATTGTCATATTATATTTAAAGGAGTTTTATTTATTTATTTATTTTATGGAAAATTGAAAAATGAATGCTCATTCACATTATGGTATATATTTTGAGAATGGTGATGGATGATGATGGATGATGTAGGTTTGGTTTGAACAAAAGTCAAAAGATCATTTAATTATGATTTTTTATTTTTTTTTTCAAAAAAATGAAAGAAATGGTGGCGTTTATCTTAAAAACGTCGCGAAATGTTGTCATTATGACGTCAGAGATAACTCCTTTAACGTGCGTTGTTAACGGCTGTAAAGAATTAGCGGCGTTTTAGAAAACGTCGTCTAAAGTCTTTAGTGGCGTTTTTCAAACGTCACAAAGATACAACGACGGCCGCATTGTCGACGAATTTTATAAACGTCGTTTTATCTTTTTGCGGCGTTTTTCTAGCCATAAAACGCCGCTAATTCCCGATTTTCTTGCAGTGTTTACTCTGATTCAGAGTAAAATTTTGCTTTGAAAGTACAATTTTACTATCATTGTATAATTCAAATCTGCAATGAATTGATAGTAAAATTTTACTGTCACTAGGAATCCAAAAGTGGTCAAGCAAGGAAACCGAGTCATTTATGTTTTCTCATTTACATATATAATTTCTCTTATCTCTCCATCTCTTCTCTCCATTTTCTTTCTTGGATCTTCAAAACAAATCTAGTCATGGCTGGAAATGGAGGATAGAAACCGGTGGTCAAGCAAAGAAACCGAGTCATTGGCAGGATGCATAGAGGTAGAGACAGATGGATCACAGTTTTTGTAGATAACCTACCTGACTCCTTTGATCCAAAAGGCCTCTTCAGTTTGTTCAATAACTTTGGAGTTGTAAGGGATGTATTCATTCCAAACAAAAGGCGAAGGATTTCTAGTACAAGGTTTGGTTTTGTGAGGTATGACTGCAGAGTAGCTGCCAATGTGGCAATCCAAAGAGCGAATGGGCTGTGGGTGGAGGACAGAGCTCTAAAGGTTAAGGAAGCGGATTTTAACAGTGATCAACGCAGAGTGGTAAATGCGAATACTTTTGGTGCAACAAAAACAACTAAACAAAAAACTGCTTTTGTGGGTGGAAATGTACAAAATAATAGAGGAATGAGGAGAACGTTTGCAGAAGTTCTTACTGGGAATAGAGAGGTTACTATGTGATGCGCACAACACACAAGTATAGACCGGATTGCCTAAATTGGAACAAAACATTTCATGTTTGTTTATTTGAAAATGGTTTGATGGTGCTACTCGCAAGTAGGCAAAGACGTGGATTTGCCACCCTCGGGTGGGCTTAGAAAACAGGATTTTTGCCACCCCGCAGAGTGGGCTTAAAACTCGCATTCAATGAATTGTTCCAATTCAAGTAGTCCAACCTTCACCCACAGGCATTTAGGCAGTTATATCACATAAGCAAATAGCCTCATGGCAAGCATGCTATCATGGAAACACTTACACACATGCGGTATGCTAAAGCGTAAACGCTTACCTAGTACTCCGAGCCAAAACAATAGCTAGTTAGTAATCAAATGCATGATCCTAGTTCATGTTAAGATGGCTGATGCAACACATGCAAAAATGCAACTATAATAGGCTTGGCCAATCTAAGAATGGCATGTGAAATGCGACAACTCGATACACGTATTCAAGTTGGAATTGAAATACTATGCAGTTAGTATGATGCGCTAAGCCCAGTGCATGCAATACAGATGAATGATGCAATCATGCAAGCATAAGGATGCTAATTGAAACATAACCTAAAACTAACCATTAAAAGCAGGTAAGTAAAAGGGAGAAAGACGTGGAGTTGGAAGACATTCACACACTCACGCACACTTATTACAAAATTCGCCCTCTCGACGGAGGGTCCGAATAAATAATACAAACCGAATAATTAATCAACTACTCTAGCTAATTAAATATTACAAAACCCTTAACTAATTCAAACAAATTAACTAAGCTATGAAACTAAAGAGGTCGTTGCAGTTTCGCCTCGGAATGATTAAATGATGCATGCTCGATCGCCTCGCTCGGAAACCCCTTGCCATGCCACATGTTGCCTTTGCTTGCACTGTTTTACACCTCTGAAAACTGCACAAGTCCCAAGGATGCTTCCGAACCACTCCCAGAGCACTGTGGGATGTCACCGGCCAAAATATAGGAACATTGGCCATGTGGAATTGGTCATCGACCATTTGTGAGGATCTCGGCCAACAATGTTTAGTCGATCGGCACTGAAGATGGCCGGCCAGCCATATCTTCCTGCAGAATGCTGTTTTGGTGCAGTAGAGGACAAACAGAGCATGGCAATTCATTTTCAAGGCAATGTGTGCACAACCACCCTTCCTATCATGTCATGAACTCAAGGGAGTATGGTTCTCGACCCTCGGACCATCAATCGCACATTTCAATGCATGATGGCCAAAGGAGCCAAGTGTGCAAATCAATGTGGAATGAATGCAACAAAAACATATGAATGCCTAGAACTCTATCATGCTTGATCAAGAGCGTTGACGACCGAGGATTGAGACACGTTTCGTCACTTCAAGTACGAACGTTCCTCGTTCCTCGTGTTTGGTTTGACACCCCAAACCAAACACAATGCAATGCATGCAACCAAGTACAATGCAACATGGAAATGCAAGGCAATGTAACATGAGCGTGACAAATGCAATGGAATGCAACCTAACATGTAAACAATATGATATACAATAAGTATGCAATACGACTATGCAACCTAGATATGTAAACATACAATGTGATAGGCATGCAACAATGATACCAACAATAAGTATGCAACAACATGCAATGCGATAAGCATACAACAACACACAAACCGCATGATCCATGGACTTACACTGAAAATGGATAGGCCTCAGCCATACCAAAACAGTGGCCAAAGTGCTAAGAAATGATGGAATGAGATGCACAATAAGCATGCGAATGTAATGGCCTATCACCTAGGTGTAAGGATACAACTCTCAAGCATGAGCAAGAAGTGACAAACACGATAATGCGGCAATGAGATGAGCTCTGAAATGATATTAGGAATGATGCCAAATCAACCAAACAACGCAAGTATAGCATGCAATAAAGCTCAAGGCTTAAGGCTAGCAAAGTGGTTTACACTATGGCCATAACAAGTGAGCCCCAAAGGACCAAGGTGACTTAAAGCAGTCCCAAGGTAGACCAAGACAAGGCTAGAACATGCATGGAATGAGGCCAAAACATGTTAGAAAGGTGAGCACAAGACATGAAGCATGTAAGGCTACAAAGGGGTGTTACACCACACCTATTACAACCAAGCATGGCATGACTTAAACAATGAAAAACAGAGTTACATTATGTTAAAATAAGCCCGAAAACCCACTGAGATGGCATCTTAAAGACCTAAACATGATGGCATGCACAATGATCCAATCATGAGGCATAAAACATCAACTCTTCAAGGCTTTGAAAGGATGACAAATGCAAGGGTATGGCTACACTACATGGACTGAAATCACATATGGGATGATGCCAAATCAGGAAAAAAGTCTAAGTAATGCATGCTAATGGCTTGGACACTCGAAGCTAACAAGCTAGGATGTATGGTAGCTATACAAAGCAATGTATGTATGATCAAAACAACATGAAACAGAGCTTTAGCATGCTGAAATATGACTAAAAGTTCCTTTGAGTTGGGCCAAAGTGTGCAAGCATGATGGTCTAAATGCAAGGTGCATGTTAAGGCAAATAAGAGGATTGCTAAACGAGTGCATGATGCATGTAAAAGACTATCAAACCAACTTAAAACAGAGGTATAGCATGACCAAATAACACCAAATACTTACTGAAATGAAGCAAAAACATGTTAAACAAACATGCTACCATTACAAGCCATTAACACAAGCAAATGAGACACAAGGAGAGAGGGGTGTCTTTCTCCTATACAAGAATCTAAAACCACCTTTCCACCACTGAAAATCCTCTGGATTTCAGTGGTAGAAAGGTCAAGCCAAAGCAAGAACAAAGGCCAAAATTGATGACCCAAAATAATGCCAAACAAGGCCTAAGAGGGGGTAGACAACCCCCAACCCAAAAGAGACCTTAAACAATCATCTTAAGCATATAAAAACAGAACTTTTTTCAGTTTATAGTTAAGCTTGAAACAATATGCAAATAGGTCTAAAAGCTTAAGCCAAAATAGGAAAACAAAAGGTTAATTGCTCACCCTTGAAGAACACCTTCAAGAACACAACTCCAGCCACTCCCTTGGATCAAAACCAACCCAAGAACTCTGAAACCAACTTCCTAGTGCCTCAGCAACCAAAGGAAGGTGTTCTACTAGGGACTCTAGTGCAAAAGTATGAACAAAAACACACTTTAGTTCACAAACACACACACAAATATATATAGAGAGAGAGATATAGAGAGAGATATATATATATCTTCTACATCAATTTTGCTGAACCTCTGGAAAGGGAGGGGAGGCTCCCCTCTTATAGGAAATCAAATTCAAAGCTTCTTAGAGAAGCTAAGTTTTGGTTCAAATCCCTCTATACACGTGTATGGAGGGGAGAGTCTGTGCTCACTAGCTGGCACAGCTGGCATGCACAATGCTTGAAAAAGGAAAAGAAAAGGCCTCGGCCAGAAAATATGGACGATCGACCAAAATAAGTGCCGATCAACCAACAAAAGTGCCAGCTGGCCAACATTTATGGCTGATGGCAAGGAAACAAGGCCGATGGGGTGTGGGGATGGCCAACAAGCCACCCCCCTGTAGACGCGCCCGCGTGGGGCCCTCGCTACAGTTCGGACTCGATTTGTGTCACGGTTCTTAATCTTGAACCAAAGAGTCCAAATCTGGCAAATCGTTTTGAGAAACAAATTTTTTGAAAAGAAGTGCCAAACATGGACTGCTTTGCCAGATACAGAGTCGCCACCTAAATATTTTAAAATGGGGAAATTTAGGAAACCCTGACTCAGTGCCGAAGGCCACATGTCCGTCATCACCGGAGTTGTCTCGGCTCGGGAGCTAGGGTACGATTGGGGAAGGTCAGCTATGAGCACCCCTTCTCGCCCGGTCCGAAGACCGGCCTCTACTAATCATGATATTCATTTTTGAAAACTTTATGTGTTCTTATTCCGATTATTAGCCTAGAATTACTATGTTATGCGCACAACAAACAAGTATAGACTAGATTGCCTAATTTGGAAACAAGCATTGCATATCCGTTTGTTTTGAAAAACGTTTTGGAATTTGCTACTCGCAAGTAGGCTAAAACACGGATTTTAATGAATTTTTCCAACTCAAACAATCTAACCTTCACCTACAGGCATTCAAACAATTTATCACATAAGCATTTAGTCGCATGGAAAGCATACTGTCATGGCAACACTCACACGCATGCGGGATGCTAAAGCATAACTACTTACATCGTACTCCGTGCCAAAACAATAAACTAGTTAGCAAACATGCATGTCCTAGTTCATGTTAAGAATGGCTAATGCATCGCATGCGAAAATGCAATCTAGACAGGCTCGGCTAACCTAAACATAACATGGAAATGCAATCAACTATCACATATTCAATTTTTGAATTGAAATACAGATGCAGTTAGTATGATGTACCGAGCTAATGCATGCAATACAAATGCATGTATGCACGCATGCATAGCATAAGGTATGCTAATTTAAAAAAAAATGCCCTAGTCTACCATCATAAGCAGGTAAATAAGAGAAGAAAGACGTGAGGTTGGAAGACATACACACACTCGCGCACACTTATTACATAATTGCCCTCACTCGAGGAACCAAATAAATATTACAGTCCGAATGATAAGCAAATAAAATTATTACAGAATTTCTAATTAGTTAATAGAAAGAATGCAAAAGAGAAGATGGTGGCCGCAGCCTCTGCCTCGGGACGCGCGAATGATGCATGCTCGGAACCCGGCTCGCCTGGAAAACCCGTACCACATCACTGCCACCTCTGTTTATACTGCCCTGCTTCTCTGAAAATTTCCCAAGCCCTAAGACAGGTTCCTTGCATGCTGAAGAGTACCACCGGCTAGGGAAATACTCACCGACAGTGCACAATTCCCACTGGCCGTTTTTGGATCTATCGGCTGTAAACAGATTGCTGGCCGGCGCAAAATTATGCCGGTCGGGCAAAAACC